GCTCTGTCACAAGGGGTGATGGGTGTGCTGACACAAGCTAGAGTTACCTGAGAAGAGGGAATCACAATTGGGTGAACACCTCCATAAGATTAGTCTCTAAGCAAGATAGTGGAGTATTATCTTGATTAATGGTGAATCTGGAATAATTAACAGCAGATGTGGAAGGGCTCATCCCACTTTCTAGGGTGATGCACCAGGTGCTGGTGGTCCTGGGTTGTATCAGAAAACAGGCTGAACAAGCCATGAAGAGCAAGCCAGTAAGCAGCATCCCTCCATGGCCTCTGTATCAGCTTCTGACTCAGGCTCCCCTGCTGACTTCTTGCCCTGATTTCCCTCAGTGATGGAGTGTGTCACGAGGATTGTAAGGTGAAATAAACCCTTCCTCCTCATGTTGCTTCTGATCATGATGTTTGATCACAGCAAAAGATAGCTAAGACAATGAGTAATCTTGATCGTCAACTTGGCAGGGTTGAGAAGCACCCAGGAGATTAGGGAGGCATACCTCTGGCTATGTTAGAGGCCATCCCCAGAAAGCATTATCTACAGAAGAGACATCCTCTGCCTGTGGGCAGTATCACCCCATAGGCTAGGGGTAGGATAAAAAGGAAGAAAGAGAAAACCAACCAGTGCAGACCCTGGTTCTCACAAAGCCTGTCTCCTCTCCCCAGGACTGGGATGTGGGCCTCTGAGGATGGGCAGGGCATCAGCTGCTGAGAGCTAAGTGTGTGCCCTTGCCCAGCTCTGCCTCAGGCATCCGTGGTCAGCATCAGGAATGGCTGGAAAGAGCAAGACACTGAAGTAACAGGGCCTCTCTACTGCAGCCTCATCATGGACCTCTAGTGTCCAAACCTGACCCCTGAAGTATTGCCAGGAAGGCAGAAATTGGTCCCATCCTATAGCCCAGAACATGGTCAAGGTGGGAATATTTTAGAAATATTTCCAATGTGTGAAACAACACTCAAAGACTTAACAAATCTCTAACATGGACCTCCAGGTTGATGAACCACAAATATCCCAAGGGTCACCCCTCATATATGACCTACCTGAACCTTCCTGTCCCCTGCCAGGCACATAGCAGTTTTATCTACTGCTTGTTGATGGAATTCAGGTCTCAAGTGGAGAGAGTTCTTTGACAGAAGCCCAGCTATTTGTTTGCGCTATGAGTTAGTTGTGAGTTTTCATCCTTGGTTCCAGACACCTAGAGTGCACAGCCATGATGCCCTTCCTGGGTTTGGGCAGATGGGTGTGTCTGTTTAGCTTTTTTACCTCCAACTAGAGGGAAGAAAAGACAGACACTTGAATCCCTGAAGGACCATGATGACTTTGTCCCAGGCACATTTGTATCCAGAAGACCCTCTTTGACCCAAGTTCTCTGAGGTTAGGTCATCCAATATTAGAGGAAGGAAGCCACATACAGAAATTATCAAGTCAGGCTGAAGGGGGAGGGAACCGTGCTGAATTCAATCAAGGTCAGGGATGCCTGACTTCTTCCCCACCCTTCATGAGCTCCTCCAACAGGGGCTGTGCAGAGCCAGCCCATGAGATGCCACAGAAACAATCATGAAATGGGACCCACTGTTTCAGCCCAGTGTGTGTGTGTGTGTGTGTGTGTGTGTGTGTGTGCATGCGTGTAATGGAAGCAAGGGATGGTCGTATTTCAGATAGGTTATCTAGCCTTTCGGTAACTCTGTTTCCTGACCTATAGAACAAAGATGAGAATTGCTAAGGCTATGATAAAAAGTGAAGTCTGAGGTGTGTTGTACTGGGACATGAGCTAGCACTACTACAGTTGGTCACATGAGCTAGCATCACTACATTTGGTCACATGGAAATTGTGTAGAGGTGGGAATGGCAGAAAGACAGGTGAGACGGGAAAGTGAACAGCTAATGAGGCAGGAGCAGCCCTGCCTGCCCAGGACTGACAGCAGACATGGCTCATGTGGTCTGCATGGGCCCAGGGTCTCCGGTGTACCATAAAAAAAGTCCCAGAAATCAGGTACCAGGCAACTGTAGCTAAACTCCAGTGGGTTATGTTGACGGCCTAGTGGGGGCTGGTAGTTTACCAAGGGGTGAAGTTTGCAGGACCCTGGCCTGGGTCATTGAACATCTGACCAATTTTACAAGTTAAAAAAAAATCAGCATTGCAGGTCAATGGCTTGGGTGTTCCCATTTTCTGATGCATGACTACCCCAGTCATGGGGCTCCTGGATTGAAAGCAGCTTTCTCAGCTCCTAGACCTGGCACCTCTATCAGTGTGAGGAACTGGGGCTCCTCAGAGGAATGGGAGGTCACAGCTGGGAGCGCCAGCACATGTCCTCCAGGCAGGGCTGACCTCCATCTGTGCCCTTGCTGCTCAGAAGGGCAGTACTGGCCACAGGGCCATCCCATCCCATGCAGACCTTATGCCTTCGGGAAGACTTGGCAAAGTACTGAAGATGCCGCTGGCTCTTTGATTACCTTTGTCTGCTTGTTTTCCTGTTGACCCTGGTGTTATTGGGCGCATCTTTAATGAGCCTTTCAAAACAGGCTGACACTAAAGTGCACAGGCCCAGCCCTTTCCCGTGTTTCAGGGTAGCTCCTAAGAATCTGCTATAATTAGAAGTCAATTAAATTAGAAACCATTAGTATGCCTCTTGGAAGGCCTCCAGTACCCAGAGCCTCTGGCTCCTTCCACAGTCACGGTGGAAACTCGTCCCTGTGAAACCTGACGTCCTAAAGCAAGGTCAGAACTGTGGACTTGAGGCAGGAGTGTGTGTGTGTGTGTGTGTGTGTGTGTGTGTGTGTGTGTGTGTGTAAGCAGGCCCCTGTGTGACCGCCACTGCCTTGTTCCCAGCCCACTCATTAGTGCTGTAGCCAGCCTCTCGGTCTATAGGCTGAGGCTCCCTGCCTCCCCTGCTACCTGCCTTAGCTTGCTCCTTGCCAGAAGGAAAACACCCAACAAGTTCACAACTGAGGGCAACCTGAGCCCTTTCATCTTGCCTCACGGAACTGAGGTGCAAAAGTGTCTGGAAGCCTGGCCATTTCTGACAGGCCACCCAATAGACATCAGTGATCTGTGAGGGTAACTTTGAGGTACCTGAGCCAGGTGGTTGAGCCCATAGAAGACTCACACCCTGTCCCTCTAGGCCTTGCCAGTGACCCTGGCCAGGTCTCCTGGACACTTGCGGAGTGCCCATCTCCAGACAGCTCTCGGAAACACTCTTCTCCCCAGAGTGAAATCGCTCTGTGGTCTTTTTCTCATTACAAAGTTCCCAGATTGGAACTAAAGCATCTGCTCTAATCCTTGGTCCATGGCAGGCTCTACACTCTTATACTTCCAGCCAATCTCTGCTTTAAGGACAGAGTGTCACTCAGAGCCCAACCCTGTGCACACAGACAGCTTTACAGCCACAGCCAGGAAGGTCTTCTCTACGAAATTTTTGGTCACTCAACAGTGGACACTTGAGCCCTGTGTGGTGCTACCTACATTCTTGTCCTTGTGTGGAAGGCCAGACCCAGGGCCTCACGCATGCTGGTGGTGTTGTGCAGGGGTGTGGGGGGGAGGGGGAGGTATTACTTTACAACTGAGCTCCAACCCTAGCCCAGAGTTTTGGATCGCATCCATCCCCTTTAAACAGGAGTGTGAACTAACTGTTCCATGGGGAGGAGGCAGGAGGCAGGACAGGAAGGAAACAGGTTCCAAAAGCTGTAAGTTCCAAGTTCATCAGATATGGACCCCCCCAAACCTGCCTGTCTGCCTGTTTAAAGGTACACCCTCCTAAATGCACACTCCAACTCTAGAACCCCGACTAGGCAGACCTGAAATCTTCTGGGATCAGAAAGTAAATAGGTGTCAATGCTCCCTGACCCTAGCCAGCTTGTGCTGCTCCTCTCTCTGACTCAAACTTACTCTCTTTACTTTCAATACACAGTCCTTTGGCTACTTTGCTCAGTGTCTTTAGGATGTTGTAGGGTCAAGTTCCTACAAGTAGGAGGAAAGGGGAAAGACAGAGATTTCCTTCCAGGGGCCATGTCTGCTTTGCGCCTCCCTACCCAGCATTCTTGTGTGTGCTATTGGAAGTCTCTGGCTCCTATGGCCAACCATGAGGACAAGGGAATGTGGGATAAAGGATCTAAGGGGTTCCTGAGGGCTCAGTTTGGTTTGAGGCTTAAGTCATCAGTGGATTCTGGACGGTTCCTAGTACACTCTACCTCTCAAAGAGAATATGCTGTTTGTAATTCGGCTAGCCCCCAGTGCTAGCATCGCGGCCGTAGCGTGGCATCTAGGGAAGCCAGGTCATCGTCTCTTGTTAACATGAAATTAGTACTCATACTCCCAAGTCAAACAGCTCGCCTCGGAAATACAAGTTTCTCCGTTCACAGTGCAAAGGTGAGCAGATAACACTGTGGCAGAGCCCTGTACTAGAGTAGCTGGTGAAAGTATGTGACTCCCTGCACTATGGCTAGCTATACATTAAATAGTTGTATGACCTTGGACAAGTCACTTAAGCTCTCTGGCCTTCAGTTAATTCAACTATATAACTGGGTGGCTGAGCTTCATTCTCTGACTCATCCAATGGGCATCAAAGAGAGGGCAGACCCTTCCAGTGGGCTATGAGAGCAAGGGGATGGACCAGACTCCAGCGGTATCCTGGATCCCAACCAGCAGGACCAGTCCAGGGCAGCTCATACTTAAGGTTTATACAAGACTACTGTCCCAACTGAAAAGCATAGTAAACACTGGCCCTAAGCTCCAGGCTTAGTAGCAGGCCCCATGTGCTCAGCCGTCCCTGGGGGCGTGTGTGTGTGTGTGTGTGTGTGTGTGTGTGTGTGTGTTTCTATGGCATGGTGTGATGCTGGTGAGGGTGCCTAAAGTCACCAGCCTGGAGCTTACCTTAGAGTCTTGTCTATTCTTTGGGATGTGCCAAAAGAATATGCTGTCGGGTGGAGAGTGACCTTTATCCACACGATAAAGATAAAGGTAGCAGGACCACCTGATACTGATGCAATTTGTCTTTCAGGTGTGCTTCCAAGAGATAATGGCCCACATGGGGGACTGCAAGTGGATGTCCTGGCTCCCAGTGCTGGTGGTAAGTGTTGGAGTTCCTGCGCCCACTGTACAGGTACTTCAGTACCTACAGGCCAGGGGCTTTCCCTCGGGCCACAACCTTCACTAGCTGCACCGCCTCAGACTGCCTTGACCTCATACACACCTAGGCATCCACTGCTGTCAGAAGGGCATGAGGACAACAGTACCCCCAGTTCTAATTGGACCGTTTTCCTGGTACTCCCGTTATAATAGGGCTTGTAGCTAGAAATGCCCCTCAATGCTTGTCAGTGATGAGCTAGCCCATGTGATGGACCCACAGCTGAGAAAGACCAGAAACCTCTTGTCCTCTGGAGCTCCTCCTGGATGTGTGGGTTGGGAAAGCGTGAGACTGAGGGCCGAGCATCTGTAGCACCTAGATGTCTGGAGAGGTACCTCCTTCATAACCTTTAGAGAATCCAAGGCAGACTGGGCGTGGGGTGAGCATAGGTTTGGACAGCTGAGTCAGGAGGAAGTGGATGTAAGGATAGCTGCGGATGGGAGGTACGAGTGGTTAACCTCGGGCTCTCTGGGCACTCCCCACATAACAGCTGCATCTTCGGGAGGGGTGGAGGCCAAGCATCCTTTCTGTGGCAGGTGTCTCTGATGTGCTCAGCCAAAGCAGAGGACTCCAACTGCGGCGAGAATGAATACCACAACCAGACTACCGGGCTGTGCCAGCAGTGTCCTCCATGCAGACCAGGGGAGGAGCCCTACATGGTAAGGACCAGCCTGTGCCCAGGAGCTCTTGGGAGCAGGGGTGTGTACTCACAGCACATTAAACTACCACTGAGGAGGAAGAGATCACCAAAGTATAGTGATCTGCACCACCAGGGCTGGGTGGTTCGAGCTGCAGAACCCAGGGTGCTCTCCAGATGTGCGCTTTCCAGATGTGCACTCTCCAGATGTGCAGTCTCCAGCATATTTTCTCAGGTTATCTGAATTCTTGAAAAATTGTCTTGTCCTGCTCTGTTGGACTCATATCTGATTGGAAGTGTGGTGGAAATGCTCCCCGGGCACAGGCCATCAGTTCTGAGAGTTGGGCCCCCCTTCTGTGGAAAGGCTAAACACACATGCTCTTTGAAGCACCAGAAAAATGTCTGGGGTGACAGTATCTGGGATTCTTGCAGAGTTCTGAGAAAACTCAGGCTCCTAGTGAGACACTCCGAGAAGCTAGTGAACCTATATTTAAAGGACCTCATCGGAGGCTGAAGGCTGTCACTCAGCAACCATTGGTAGAGAGGAAGAAGCTTCAAGAAAGAGCCAAGGAAGTCAGGACTTTGCAGCTACTGTAGGATGGGCAGCTGAGACTGGAAACACTCTGCACGCCACTGTGCAGGCCGCTGTAGTCACATGCTGTGTGTTCTTGTGTCCCCTGCCTCCCCGGACAGTCCTGTGGATATGGCACCAAAGACGACGACTATGGCTGTGTGCCCTGCCCTGCAGAGAAGTTCTCCAAAGGAGGTTATCAGATATGCAGGCGCCACAAGGACTGTGAAGGCTTCTTCCGGGCCACCGTGCTGACTCCAGGAGACATGGAAAACGACGCCGAGTGTGGCCCGTGTCTCCCTGGGTAAGTGTGGGAGTGTGCCACTGGGCTGACCCCTGAAGGGTGAGGAACACTGCCCCTCTGAGCAGAACCCCACAGGCATAACAGGCCTTCACAAAGTGAGATGCCCACCTTTGTCACCTTCTCCTGGGGATAACAACAGGAGGCTTGTCACTGCCCATGCCCAGACAGGCAGGCAGCCTTCAGGCCCTGCATTTGTGCCTGATTGCCTGATATGGGGGCATCATCACAGTATAACCTGACATACATATATATATATATATATATCCTTTGTAAAACAAACCAGCAGAACATTTATGATGAAATAAGACATGTGAAGCATTTTGAAGGGGAAGTGATCTAATATTCTATAGGACGGTATTATTTTTTAGTGTTCTGGGAAATGTGTGGGTAAAAGCTTGAGTCCTCTGATATCTGTGCTTTCTACTCTGTTGTCTTATATAGGTCCCCCCACATACCCCAAAAAACAAAGTGAGAATGCAATTGGTCTGAGAGACAAAAATACACAAATCTTTCTGTTTTCCTGATAGAATGCATTAGTAAAATCTGCCTGGAATAAGAAAATTTTCTGGACAGCCAGCCAATCAATACACACAGCTGTTGCTACTGCCTCCCTCTAGTGGCCAAAACATAGCATGTCTTTTCCAGACTCCAAGATGAAGAGGGAAGCATGGTGGGAGGAGGGGGAGGGGACAGAAGGCTGGCAGTGGTGGAGGTGGTGGTAGTGGTGGAGGTGGAGGTGGCAGAGGTGGTGGCTGTGGTGGTGGAGGTCATGGCGGCGGCGGTGGCGGCGGCGGTGTGATGGCACAGGTGTGGGTGGAGGTGGTGGCAGAGATGCTGGTAGTTGACTGGATGGTGCTGATGGCCTTGATGTGGTGGGCCTAAGGGGGATGGCAGAGCTAATTCTAGTGGTGAACATTACCTTTTGAGAAAGAAGTACAGAAGGGTCAGAAAGACAACTCCAGTGTAAACATAATTGTACTGTAAGTTCACTATTCATCACACATACATGCATTTACATAGACACACAGACACACACATGCATGCACACAGACACACACACACCACACACAGACACACACACAAACACACACCACACACAGACACACACACATGCATACACACAGACACATATATACACCACACACAGATACACACACAGACACACACACATGCATGCACACAGACACACACACACCACACACAGACACACACATACCACACACACACACACCACACACAGACACACACACAGACACATACATGCATGCACACAGACACACACATACCACCCACACACACCACACAAGACACACACACACACATGCATGCACACAGACACACACACACACAAACACACTCCACACACAGACACATACACATGCATGGACACAGACACACACACACCACACAGACACACACACAGACACACACACATGCATGCACACAGACACACAGACACATACACACACAGAGTTCAGTTTCATTATAGAGAAGCATCTTATCTCACAGCATCCATCACTGCCTGTGACAATGGTGTCCCCACCCCAGTTCCCAGTACCTGTGACAATGGTGTCCTCACCCCAGTTCCCAGAGTTCTGTCTTTAGCTCAGGCCACCTCCTGAGTCTGTGACACCATGGACCATCGTCTTGTCGCCTTATCCTTCAGTGTGCACAGAGGCAGAGAGGAGTAACCGGGGAGGGTGGTAGACTACTCCCTGTGAAAAGACGACGGAGAAACACATGTTCAACCTGCATAGTTGTTGCAGGTACTGTGTTATAGGACTCCCCCAAAGGGAGCAGCAGCATTAGAACCTGAGTGGGTTCTAATATGGGTCCCCATCTAACTGCATCAGCCCCACTGAGGGACCGTGGGCTTGCCTCTGATTTTGATGAATTCATTTGCTTCAGATTGTTTTTTCTTTCTTGGTTCAAACGTATGATACACAACAAAACGCAGTGCGCCTGGCAGTCACCTGTGTAAGGCACACCCATCCCATCTCACTTCCTTTGGAGGGAAAGAACCCTCAGTGTAAACACCGTTCAAGAGCCATGTGATAGCTGGATGGTTTCCTTTCCCTGAAAGCAGCAAGCATCTTCAGGGCCTGGTCCTCTGGTTCCCATGGCCTCAAAGAGGAGTTCACAGCAGGATCTGTGGAGATGCTAGAGGCAGGTGGAGGTAGACAGAAGCCCTCTAGCAACCAGCACCAAAAACGTATGCCTTCAGCTTGTAAATGGTGCAGGTCCCCACTCAGAAGACCAAGTCAGGGAAGGATCCAACAGGGCTCAGTGGCAGCAGGATCCTTTTGACAGCAGCGAGGGAAATGGCTGAGGAGTGAATGGCCTGGGACCTAGGGAGCAAGGACAACAATATGGACAGGGAGGAGCTGGGACAGAAGCCCTGGGGGTGGCAAGAGTCTCAGGGGTGTCCACAGTTAGATGGGGGTGCAAGGTGCAGAAGACTCATTGATGTCTGCCCTCCCTGTGCTGGTGTGGATAGTGGTGCCATATATTGAAAGGTAAAACACAGGAGAAAAGATTTGGTGGGGATGGGGAGTCAGGTAGCGGCCAGATGTGATGAACATCTGTGGGACACCCACATGGATGGATGGATGGATGGATGGATGGATGGATGGATGGATGGATGGAGAGGTGTAAGATTCAATGTGAGTGATGAGTATTAGTCACGCTATTGCCATTGGTCCAGATGGGATCCGTGAATCAGCCTCACAGTGCAGGGAGTATGGCCCAGTGTATGTATGGTGAAGCTCCCCAACCCTCACGCCTAGCTCTCAAGCAACTGTAGGAGAGCCTCGTGATAGCACCCCATCAGGGGTCCATGAAGCAGTTGTCATTCTGTTCCAGATTATCTAAAAGGGACAGTGACTGTCTGCAGCCGCTCCACTACCAGGTAGAGCCACAGAGACTTTTTATGTAAAACAGACAAGCTTGGGACCCTGCAGTGACTGTGCTGCTCAAAAGCAGATGCCAGCACTTGAGAACTGACTAGAGAGCCATGGAGACAGTTTTCCTGGTCCCAATATTTACCAGAAAGCATCCAATCCCCAAAGATGTTTAACAACAGTCGTGAGCCTGCTTTCTCTAGAAACTTCAAGCAGATGCCATTTGAACAATGAGTGTTGAGGCCGCACGGATTCCAGAAGCGTGTTTCCAGCCCTGAAGTCTTGAGTCCTCTCTCTGTTCTGTGCTATAGTAACTTTATCTTCAATACTTGGGACAGACCGAGGTTTGGGAGTGAGAAGGGGGGTCCATGTTTTTCCCTGTGTCGGCATGCACTACGTCACTCTACAAATGTAGGCTTGGCTTGGAGGTCGTCATCTCCCTATTTAGCTTGCAGAGAGATATATCTGCTACATCAGTCATTCCTGACCCTGAAGCCACTAAAGAGAAAGCATTCACTTCCCTAGTCCCCAAGGCCCTCTTAGAACCACAACTTCTTCACTCGGGATCTCAAGCTTCACAGGGGCAGCATCCACTTCCTGCTGCATGCCCTAAACTTACAGGACAAAACGAGGCTCTCACGCTGTCACTGAAGACTATGGGGGCATTTCGGCAGGCTGGACAGATCATCTCCATGAACCCCTGTAGTTATGATCCAGGATGTTTACCTGGTGTTTGTCTTTTTAAGGTCAAGGGCTGGCCCTCTCCCCTCCTTGTGGTTTGGCGGGTGCTGGCTCCCGTTCTCAGCTCTGTACGCACATGTGGCCCAGACAGTCACTGAACAATAGCAGCACACGGGGTTTTCCTGTTACGAAAGGTCTGTGTGGGAGACAACAGAAGGTACAGACAAGGCAGCAGGGAAGGGTTTAGATTTCGTAACCTCCCCCGCCTTGGCATCCTATGTCCTGGGTAGCTCTATACCTGCAGCCAGTTCTATACCAGCCACTGCCTTTACAGAGGAGGCTTAGCAACTGCCCATGGGCTTGGCAGGGCTGCAGAAAGGAACCTGCAGGTCACAGGTTGAAGGGCGTGGGCATGGGCATTTCACGACCGAGAGCATCCACTGTGATCTTAGGTCCTACGAAACGAGAATCTGAAGGGGAGAAACCATTTCCTACCATCTCAGAGGAAGTCAGTCTGAATAGAGGATTCTTGGATCCTTGTTTAAACTGAATTTTGCCCTGACTAGATAATTTAGGAAGAACAGAAGAGAGGAGAGGATGCTTGAGGTCGTGCCCAGCTCACAGTGGCTCGCCTTAGCTTCCCTTCCCCCTCTCCTAAATTGTGACGTCTCTACTCATTAAGGAGAAACACCACTTCAGCCTGGCGTAATCCAAAGTTAATAATGAGTCCCCCAGTGCAACCAATCTGCCTTTACCTCCGGAGCCGAAGTACGAGACCAGCTATATTACAAAGCAGGCTTCTGTGTTAGCTGATGCAGCCTGACTGTAGGAGAAAAAAAAAAAAAAAGTATGTTCTGAGCATGCTCCACCTGTTGAGTATAGAGCTGGATGCACTGAATGAACTCATTTTCTATTTAACAATTTCTTTAGCTCACAATGATCTTATCGAAATGTAACCTTGCGGTAAGTCCAGGAGCATCTGTAGAGAAAATCAAATTAAGGATCAAAGAGTATGGGATCACATCTTTACAGGAAGTGGTCTTGACACTAGATTCGCCACAGGTGTTCAATGAACAGGTCAGACTGAAGACGCTCTGGGAGAGCAGAAGATAGGCCAGCGATTTCCGCTTTCGTCTAGCTGTGTACTGAACTACAAGTACAAATTTTTGTTAGTTTAGGTTAGTGCTGAAAGAAAAAGCTAACATTTTAAAAATATTCTCTGGGCTGGAGAGATGGCTCAGCCAGTGCCTGCTTTCCAGCATAAAGATCTGAATTAAAATCGCCAACGTCCACATAAAAGCAACAAGTGTCACAGAGACAGGAGGATCCACGCAGCTCACTAGCCAAGCAGTCTCATCAAATCTCTGAGCTCCAGGCTCAGTGAAAGACCCTGTCTTTAACAATAAGGCAGAAAGCAAACCAACTAAGGAACCAGATATGGACCTCTCTGGTCGCCATACATGTACACACACAAGTACATGTGCACTGCATGCAAATGTGTGTGCACACACAGGAACAGATACATAACAAAACACACACATAAATTCTTGCAGCAATACATGCTAGAACACAATTGTGTGTCTGGAGGCATTTGACACTTGTGCCAGGTAGAACATGAAACTTCTAAACAGATTCCTAGAGCTGTCCTGTCTTTTTGAAATATCTATAGCAGGGCTGGAGAGATGGCTCAGCAGTTAAGAGCACTGACCACCTTTCCAAAGTTCTGGGTTTGATTCCCAGAATCTACATGCCAAACTGTAACCCAGCCTTAGGGGATCTGACATCTTCTTCTGACTCCCAATGGCAGAAGGCATGCATGTGGTACACAAACAAAACAGGCAAACCCAAGACCCACACACATAAAGTAAAAACAAACAATAAAAGAAACTGTATAGCCATTAAGCAGTGTTCCTTCATTAAATAACTTTACACAGCTTGGTCAAGTGCAGAGTCAGGGCCAGGGCAAGCACATGGAGATGTAAACATTCAGAGCCCCTGAGGAAATCAGAAAGAGACACCTAGATGGGACTACTGGTCAACCTACAGCAGAAAGTACTTGCCTGCGTGCCAAGAAGAGGTTATCTCAGCACAGATGGCAACCCTCGACTGAGCAGCCAGCAGCCCCTACCCAGGTGCTAAATACCCAGGTCTTGAGTGTGTAGCAGGTCCTCAAGCCCAGGTGGCCCACACCTCTCTTACGTGTGTGGCTCTGTAGCCTTACCTGTGACAGAGCCTGATATCCAGACATAACTGGGACATTGAAGTCTGTGCCTTTGCTGCCTTTAAAGGACTGTATGGCCTACCATTAGAGCTTTCCTCAGCTCAGCACTCTGAACTGTGGAGCAGAATACAGTGACATTCATTAACTTGCCCAACCAATACTAACAATTGTCCTTCCTTAATGCCTGGCAAGAGGTATGAGGAAGGTTTATCCTTCTTGGCCTCCAGCACCTGGTCTTAATGAGATGGGAGAAAAACAACAACAACAACAATGGTGTGGATTTGGGAGCTGTTAGAAAGCTGTAAGCAGAGCTGAATGGGCAACTGGAGGCTACCTGTGCCCTGCTGGGTAGATCCACCATTGTCTATATGTAATTCATTGCTTCACTGACAAAGATGCCTTCTTAAGAGGCCAGAGGGTGTGTTTGGGAGCTTTCTCCAGAAGGCTTAACAGTTAAACTGTTGTGGCTTCTCCCAGGGTGTTTTTGAGATTGGTTAATTAATGTTTGCAAGATGCTCAGGGATCTGAGGATAAAAGGCTTTGAGGGAGGGTAAGCAATTACAACCCTGATGTTACTGGTAATGGTCCAAGCTCAGGCGGGCTGGGACACTCAGAAAGGCTGGGGTCCAGAGTGTCCCAGCCCACCCTCCCGAAATGAGGGTTTCATCTTACCACCCACAGCCAGCAGGAGGGCCTTCATGGTAAACGGCTAATGAGAAAGAAGTTAGGAGTCAATCACAGTTGGATCCACCGGCAGAGACGGCTCTTCATCTCTTGCGTTCTAATAACTGACACCAGCTTCCTCTATTTGATTAGACTTCTCATAATGTGATAAATGGCCTCATGGTCACCATACAATGTTTGTTTATAGAAAATGAGTCAAAATGTTAAAGAAAAACAGGACAGGAGGGGCGTGGCAGCTGCTGAGGGCTGGATCCTTTAAGGGGCGGGGTGTGAGGAATACAGGAGCCTTGTCTGGGTTTAAAGGACTGGAGAAAGCAGCTACACTTTGAGTCATTCACTCTTTCCTCTGAGTGCAACTGCAGACAAACTCAGTAGTTACACAGATATCTTTAGCCTGGGGCAATTTGTTGTATCAGTACCTGGTTTCGCTGGGGAGGGGGTTATTTCCAAGGCTACCTGCAGTGACCTGTGTGGCCAGTGTAGTTGTTTTGTCTCTGAGGCTGTCATCCACTCAGGCAATTGTGGGGTGTCAAAGGCCCCAGGGCTGAATAGGCATTTTGCAAGCAACTTCACTGGCCTATGGGCTCTGGGAAGGGTGACAGTGAGCGGGAAAGACACAGGGAACTCACTGGTGCCCCCATGTGGTAGTGCGTAGGTACTTCCTCTGAAAGCTTTCAAAAGTTGTAAACATGCACGCTCACACATGCACGCAAGCACACACGTGTTAAACAAACCCTTTAAGAAAGAAAGGGAGGGAAGGGAGGAAGGCAGGCAGGCAGGAGACCATGTGACATCAGACCCCAAATTATCCCAGTCCTAGAAAAAAGAATATTCCACTTCAGTACATACTAAACATCCCCCAAGGAACTAAGGGAGTCCTGAGTGCTGGCGGCCTCTCAGGTTCTCAGTCTCCACCAAGTTTTCTCATGCCTGGCTTCAGTCATGGCCTAGTGACATCCGGGGTGTACCTGTGTGGTATTTCTCACTCATCTGCCTTTCCTGTGTCTCATCTTGCCTCCTGTAGATACTACATGCTGGAAAACAGACCCAGGAACATCTACGGCATGGTGTGCTACTCCTGCCTCTTGGCACCTCCCAACACCAAGGAATGTGAGTGTTCAGCCCTTCAACAGAAATACTGGCTCACTTAAATGCATTCATAATGACCGCACGGTGCCCAAAATGTGTGCAGCATTGCATTAAGGAAAAGAAATCAAAGTACTTCCCCTTGGAGTAGTCTTACCAAGAGCAAGCCCAGATCTGAATTCGCTCCTGTCTGTCTGTTGAATGAGTCTGAATCTATGCCTGCCTGAAGGCTGTCTTATAAGTCTATCTGTCCCTGTGGCTGTGTGTGTCCCTAACGAAGGGCTTTGTTCTCTCTTGTATTGAACAGCACAGAAAGTGTCGCACAGGAGAGGGATGAGGGACACTTTACAGAAACTTTTAACAGAGTTTTACAAGGAATTCGGTCACCACCTCCAACTGTGCCACATAACAAATGTGACTGCACATGTCACCGCAGACAGACCTATCGACCTGCATCCATGTTGTAGACAGTATTTATGGTGGACATGTTCCATAAGGTTGCTTCCAGCCTATTTGCTGACTTCGGCATTTATTACCATAGCACTCATAGTCACTACAGATGCACATGCATCTGTAGTCAGGGGCGTGGAAGTGTGCGTAACTTAAGATTACAGCTATGTATTGTCTTTGGCTGTGAATGTTGACTACACGGGGACATCCAAGACATAGTAAGGTTGGTTGTCACACTATTCTCTTACAAGCAGGTTAAATGAACAGGCTGGACACACAGTAGGACAGCAGTTTTAGGTCCTAAGTGACCTCATGATGTATTATTAATTCTGACTGCCAGGACCAACAAAAGTTCCAGTCTTTTACTACTGGTGTAGAAGGAAGCCTGTTCCAAAGCCTAGGTAAGATGAGCACAGTGGGGGCTGGAGATGGAGCTCAGCCGTGGACGGCACTTGATTCTCTTGCAGAGGCCTTCGATTCCAAGCACCCACCTCAGGGGGCTAACAACCATCCAGCTCAAGGGGATCAGATGCCCTCTTCTGGCCTTTATGGGCAACACACACACATACATACACAATAAAAATAAAATCTTTTTTTTTTTTTTTAAAGAACAACACAAAGGTATAAACAGGGGATTGGCTTTGCTGTGGGTCAGACTTTTGGGGTCAGATGTTAAGGCTGTCATGCAGGTCAACCAGTAGTACCTCAGACAAGTCACTTAGGTGTACCATCTGTCAGAGAGAGAGAGAGAGAGGGGGGGGGGGACCTGTTCACCTTCTGTGACCATTAAGAAAGCTAAGGGAACTGCAGTGGGTATTTTGGAAGGACTATAAAATGCTGAGTGACGTTAAGTTCTTGTGGATATGTAGATCACACAAGGCCATGAGAAATGTAGAAATATTCACAAGTTATCAGGAAATTGAATAGTTTCTATAAAGTACATGTAAACTACTACCCTCCTGAGTTTATAAGCCACCATGGGGCTGCTTCTTTTCCAGGCTTATGATCTTTCATGTGTGGGGAAGGGTCTCCTTCTGTTGCAAAAGAACTCCAACGTGTGATTTCTTGGACTTTGTGGTCTAATAAAGGTCGAGGTGGTCTGAAGCTGGGGCCCTTAACCTGCATCCAAATGTCAAGCTCACTAAAGATGTATTAGTGGGCAACTCAGAGCTGCTGAAGGGCGGAGGTAGGATGAAGGAAGACTGCCAGCCTCATCATCTCCTGCCCCCCCCATAGGAAAGGTGATCATGTGACTGGGCAGGATGCCTGGGCGTGGTGCTAGGGGTTGGGGAATCTGAAGGCCAGGCCATTCTCTGCCTTCTAGATAGTTTGGCAATTGAAACAGATTTGCATGTGTTTAAAATTGAACTTCTTACCTATCATATGCTAATTAATTTACAAGTGGAGGAGGCCCTGGGGCTCCTGGCTGCCAGCCTGACCTGTGGTAAAGTCAGCTGCCATTGCTTATGTATCTTCTGTCAGGGGATCTACATGAATTAAGTGCCTGGTAATTCTGGGATGAGGCTCTCCCCTGAGTGGAAGATCTCAGGATCACACTACCCAGCAGGAAAGGTCTCTTGCCTATGGAACCTGGCAGGAAAGCAGCTGTCCTCAGGGGTTCTCACAGAGATACAGGCCCTTCCCTCGTTGCCTGGCTAGTAGAAAGAGCTAACTATTGCATCCAGTCTTGGGTAAACAAGCAGAGTCCCTGACTCCCAGAGATTAAAAATTAATAATAATCAATGCATCCCTTGCTTCCCTTCATTGCTAACTGACAGCTAGATCCCAGGAAGGCTTCACTGTAGGTTTTTACAATCCAGCAAAATTACCTCCAGTCTTGGCTCTGGGACCTCTCAAGCCAGTCTCCAGGCATCTTGCCCAGCCCAGAAACTTGTCTGTGACAGATATGGTAGGTGGAACATTCCTTCAGTGAGTCTGAGCCTCCTTCAGAAAATTAAACACTTCCACCCTACCCTTCTCTACTGTTTCCCAGGGTGCATTGTGACTGGGAAGATTACCTAGAACCATAGCTAGGTGAAATTAGGAGGCCCATATGTTCAGTGTTGTCCACGGCCCCGCTGTAGGAAAGCCAGGGACTGGGCCAAACCTCATCTTTGTCAGGATCTTGAAATCCCTGGCTGGTGGCCTAGGCTCCACCTCTTCCTGAAGGGTGGATTTCCTGGGCCATGTGGAACCAAGTTGTCATTCTTAGTACTCTGAGTCAAGGACCCTGGGGCACGCAGTATTGCAGCTACATGCCCAGTAGAGCTGGAGCAGGCAGATGGCCAGGTGCAGGACAGCCAGTCCAGCTACATGCCTGAATCCGCATGGGGGTCTCCTAGGCAGGAAGGGCAGGGGTCGGGGTACTGACCATTCTCCTTATCCGGATGACTGAGCCTGTGTTGGCATTCTCAAAGGATCTGCTGCCTCTCTGAGCATTGAGCAGAAGAGTAGGACTCTTATCGCCTTCCCATGAGGTGCTTGAGATAGCACACATTTCTGGGCCTGCCTCTGATTCAGCAGGTCTGACATTGTGTTTGGGTTAAAGATCCCAGCTTCAGAACTTTTCTGCCTTTGTTAGTGTTTATCCTGCTTCGTGGAGCCCTGGCTCCATCCCTGCCACCACAGACTTGCACAGCCAAGGTGAGTTCATGTTCACCAAGCCCTTCCACACGCATGTCATAAGAGTGCTTTCTCATTGCCGTGACACAGGCCACCAAGGGACCCTCAGGAGGAATGAGAAAGTGACACGAATTTACTCCTAAAGTAGATAAAATGTTCTTGTTCCTGGGTGGCCGAGCTCTGGGTTGCAGGTCAGTGGGGACTTCAGTCTGATCGTCAGCTCCATTAAAGCACGGAAGCAATGGGGTTCTTGGAACCACTTCAGTTTCTGCTTTCTCTACCACATACTGAGATGATACCTGCACATACTGTGATTGACAGTATGTGTACATCGAAATGAGGCAGATATGACTGGCATCTTCCCTACCCTGAACTGGCCAGCAGCTGAGTCTCGTACAGCCTCTGCCCAGAGCCCTGAAGCAAAGCCCCTCCCCTCCAGTGAGTATCAGCCCCACTAGGAGAGCTTCGGGCCTTACTCTCCTTTGCCCTCTGCTGTCATGGTGCATTGGTGAGTCCCCATTAGACCAAAGGGACACACAAAGCCCTTTGGTTGGTTTGTTTGTTTTTTCAGCAAACCAGAGAGCAAGATGCTCTGGCTACAATTTTCTTTCTCCCATGTTGTTCTAAGGACGTAGGTGCCAGGGCAGCTAAGTATACATTTCCTGCGCTGTAATGACAATAGGTAAGAGTTCTGTCTAGAGGGCGGCAGGAAGTCGGGATTGGAGAAAGGTGTGTGTCCCACTTGGCTTCCACTGTGAGTTTCCACCCCTAAGAAAGTGATCTCCTTCTCTGGACCTCAGTTTCCTCTAAGATCTTGTGTCACAAGATCTCTGTGACACTGTAGGGGCAGTGTGTGGGAAATGCCCATATCGGTGCTGGTGACGTATGTTAGTGTGATGGACAGCAGGCTCAGCCACACGTCAGTAGCCCTGCACTCCCAACCTGGGACAGAGTAGTTAGAGGGGACACAGACATACTCAATTGAAGTAACAGTAGTGATGCCTGTTCTTCTATTTTAAAAATCACTTGTCAGTGGTTAAGACCCATGAGTTAAATCAAGAATAGAGTGGTCTCTTAGGAGGGGACACCTAGTGAAATGACTGAACTGTGGCTTACAGTGAGCAGAGGACTGCTCATGTGGGCCTTAGGACCTAAGTAGGAAACCCTGGCCTCCAAGAGCATGGGCCCAGCTGTTTCTGTAAAGTGCCAAGTGCCGCTATTCACACCAGGCTATCCCATGTGTCTATTCACACCAGCCCATGCCACACAGCACAATTCACACCAGATCATGCCACACAGCACAATTCACACCAGACCATGCCACATAGCATCAAGGACCCGGTGAGGAGCAGATTCCTGTCGTTCATGTCTGGGCAGAAGCAAAGGCTACCTTCATTTCTAGCAGCTAGTGAGTATCTGACAACTCCACCCATCGCTTACAGATCCTCTGCCAGGGTGTGTGGCCAATGCCAGGGTTGAGGGGCACCTCCTTGACAACTCTAATAGCCAAATCTCTCTTAAAAATCCAAAACTGTTTACACTGTGTGGAGAATGCCAGCCAGCCTCTGATACATACTGGCACATTTATAAATTGTGTGGATTAACAACTTCAAAGGCCCCTTATATACCATCATCTCTTTGAGCAGAGGTATAACTCCACTAAGCCTGGTGCTTACAGCTCGCTAAGTCCCCGAGGAAGGTGAGCTGAGCCGCAGCCAGACTGGGACTTCAGAGTGAAGTAGGCACACCTGTCCCTACCGTCTTGTCTAGTAATGGACCTCGAGCAGAAACCTCTGCCCATTTTCTGGAACGTCAGTTGTTACCAGCCGTTATCACTCGGGTCATCTGCAGTTGACTACCCAGAGAGATTGCTATGAAGGAGCAAACGGCCAAGTGAGGACGCAGGGTAGTGTGGGATATTCCCAGATACCAGGCAACTTGATAGTGAAGAGTCTGTCAGCATCAGACCAGAGTACAAGCTGATCCAGGACAATATGTCTGCAGGGAGCCTAGCATGCTGCTCTTGGGAACGTGCTCTATGGCAGTGCTTCCATGATGCACAGTGTGGATTCCGATATGTCTTCTATGCCCACCCATGCTCCTTGTAGGGTAGGGTACTTTGTAGACCCATGGCTTGTGGAAGGTGTGCAGTGAAGAATAGCAATAGCTGAGCTCTCTGGGCTCTCTCTCTCTCTCTCTCTCCAAGTTTTGCCCAAACGTAGGTCACACACACTTTACTCAACATGATACAGTGTATTCATAAGCTTAGCGTGCACGCGTCTGTGATTCTGGCGTGCGTGTTTCAAGGGTTTGGGATAATGGAGAGCAGGTGCCTGTCTTCTCTGGGGAATTTCCAAAGCATTCTGTGGAATAACAGGAGCATCCTCAAGTCATTATCAGGAGCCTGACTCTGTCTACCAAGGCCTGCAGGGGCCCTGTTGCCCAGTCTCATAGCACACTGCTTCTTCTAGGTGGTCTTTTGGGGGTTCTCTTTGGTGTGTAATGATGGTTAGACGGTTGAGCATACACCTGTCTGAAGTCAGCCGAGGGACCGGCAGGACTAGGGCTTGCTCTGCTCACATCACGCCTCCCTTGTGTGGAAACAGACGACACTGAATTGGGGACATGAAAGACCAAATAAGATACAGAGGTTTTTGTTTGTTTGTTTGCTTGTTTGTTTGTTTTTGTTTTTTGGTTTTTTTTTATTACTGTACTCAGAACAGTCCTATTGAATTTTTTGTTAGTTGTGTTCCATAAAGAACATTCCTTCCACCTGCCTGAAACAGAACTGTCGCTGAGAAGATCTGATCCAGGCAGCCATGCATTGATTTTTCTCTGAGTTGCCTCAGCTCTGTCTTTGCTGAAACAGCAGCTCCATTCTCTCTTGCCAGCTCTGATTCTGAGAAGCCTATTGTCAGTTCATGGGTTGCTTGCTGCCCTTTAGGACCTGCATGGCCTGCAGGCCTGGCTGCAGGCCGTGTAACTCTGCTCCTTCTGCACACGGCATAGGTCTCAGCATCTGCTGTAGGACCCCTGAGGGAAATGTCTGCCTCCCTGCAGATTCTGGAAGGACCCTGAGGTCGACCACAGGGAAAGATGGGATGGAAGTCATAGGGACCTGAAGAGTTTGGTTGCAGGGTACCTGCAGGTGTTCGGCTCTAGCCTCTGACTTAGAGAGGTCTACCTTTCCCGAGTACCTCATCCCCACTTCCCATTTCTCATGCTCAGCAGAGCATCTTTGGCTGGAGAGTACCTGGCAACTCCTTCAGCTTGTTCAGCCTGTGCTCCAGCAGTGCCAGCTGGAGTTCAGTTTGGGGAATGTCCAGTATATCGGAGCAAGGCATAGCTGGTCCAAGCAGGTAGCATCTGTGCCTCAGGAAGATGTCCTTAGCAAGTAGCAGCCTGCACCAGTGTTTGGCGATGTCATGTAACCAGTCCTTCCAGGTACAGGGCCATTTCATAAGTCTGTACTCACCAAGCTACCTTCATTGTCTTTTTTTTCTAGACCATAGGCCTGGGTGTGTTTGCACCCCAGCCCCAACCCTGTCACTGCCTTGGTCTGCATGTCCTAGCAAGAAGGGACAAGAAAAGACAGAGATTGCTGGCGTCCACAGACACAGCCCTTGGCTTCTTTTTTTTTTCTCCCTCTGCCCACATATCTTAAGCTCACTTGAGCCCCTTACCAAACCAACAGATCCGTTTCTTTGCAATGCCCTATTTGCTTTAGAAAAAGGAAATTAGATTCTATTCAAAGCTGGGTTGGGACAGTCCACCTGATGACATGTGACAGCTAGTTTCCCAGCAAAGTACAAGTGGCAGGACCCTGGATCTTGCCTTAGCTGGCTGGAGCAGCTACCAACCTGCAGAGGACTTGGTGGGGTCTTTGAGCAGGGGTGGGCACAGCCTAAATGTCAGGTCAGCATAGCTAGGTAGACAGGACCACCACTGGGGACTCCCTCAACAGTTCCTCCCTAAGAGTTACCCTGAAGTATAAACTTTAAAAGAAGAACATAAGGTTAGAGCCTATGGGCCACAAGAAAGCTTCTAGTCTTCCCCCAGAAAGAGGAGAGATCTCATCTTCCTTGGGCAAGTGACTATTCTCCTGGCTACACCATAGTTCTATTTCTGTCTATGTTGAGGGACAAGCTAGCCTCTGAGTACCTTGGCACCTCACCGACACAAAGAAATCCACCTCCAGCCTGCCCTGAGTCTGTGTTTGTCTATTATACCTCCACATTCTTTATCTGTCCATCTCTCTATGTGTTGAAGTAGATATAAGGATGGAAACAGAGGCATCTGGCCTCTCTCCACAGGGTATCGTGGGCATATATTTTTTTGCAGTCTACTTTTAAAAAGGGTTCAACCTCTCCTCTAGCCTACCACCCAGCAGAGGTGGTAGAAGAGAAAAGTTAGGATAGGGGGAAGTGGACCTGTTCAGCAATAGTTCTTTAGGGGTGAGCTTGATTTTCTTGGGCAGCCATTCAGTCCCGTAGCAAACACCAAATATGACTCAGCAGCTGCAGACCAGTCCTCTAGGCAGAAACCAGGCACGAATCAGCAGTTACAGTCCAGTTCTTTCGGCCAGCAGTCACCAGGCAGCTGTAGTTCAATCCTGAAGAAACTGCCAGGCTCACCAACTGGCCTGAGGTGAGGCCACAGAAGCAGCAAGCTGCCACAGGAACATCATGGGCAGTTCTTGGGCGAGTTTCTTTTCTCAGTGGCGACTGGTGTTATCACAAATTGAGCTCAACAACGTGAACCAATACATATGCGTCTTTAGCAAAGAATAGCAAGATGGGGCAAACCAAACCATTGCTCAGTGCTCATTTCCCACTGTCTGTGGGGTCATATTTAGACTCCTTCATCACGGGTCCTTTCACATGTCTGCTATATCCAAACATCCTTTCACATGTGTCTGCTTCAGGAAAATAGTCTTCCATGTGTTTGCTTTAGCAAGACATCCTTTCACCTGGTGTCCCAGAAAAACATCATTTGGTATAACTAACTTTCCAATGAACTAGACGTTTTTACTTCAGGATATGTATTTAGTGAGGTTGTCAGCTAATTAGGCAGCGCACTACGATTCAGTGGGACTGGGCTCCTGCTCCTGGGCTGGCACAAGCCAGACGGCAGGAAGCTTTCCACACAACAGGCCTGTGTTTCTCCCAGAACCTCTGTTAGACTGTTGTCCCTGCTTACTCCTCACTGAAGCCCTGTGGTGCTGTGACTGACCCCTGTGTATTCTCCAGACAAATTCTCTTGGTTGGTTGGGGTAGGTGGGAAGGGCATGACTTTAGGGAGGTTGGTGACCCCACCTGGGGCTATAGCTGCTTTTCAGAAGCACAGAATTATTATATGATAAACCTCTCCAGAACTGAGAACCAGCAAGGACAAAGAAAGAAAGGAAGAAAGAAAGAAAGAAAGAAAGAAAGAAAGAAAGAAAGAAAGAAAGGAAGGAAGGAAGGGAGAGAGAGAAAGGTAGAAAGGGAGGAAGGGAGAGAGGGAAGGAGGGGGAGTGAGAGAAAAAGAAAGAAGGAAGGAAAAAAGAAACAAAAAGGAATAAAGAAAGGAAGGAAGGAAGGAAGGAAGGAAGGAAGGAAGGAAGGTAGGAGGGAAGGAGGGAAGGGAGGAAGGAAGAAAGCTTCCCTACTCAAGGGCTGGGGTCACATCTGTGTATTCTGCCTCTACTGCTGGGCTATGGTCCAACCCTAATTGTTTTTATCAATTGAAAAACTCAAGTTTGAAGGTTATTTATCAGAAAAAAAAACAAAAACAAAAAACCATGTACTGTGGTTTGTCTGATAGCAAATCGGCTATCAGTTTTCTTTTCCTTGACACTCTTTCTTTTCTTTCTGTTGTCTTTCTCCTTTTTGAAACAGAGTCTCTCTGTGTACTCCTGACTGCCCTGGAATTCACTGTGTAGTCAAGGCTGGCTTTGAACTCACAGAGATCTGCCTGCCTCTGCCTCCTACTGAGACAAGCACTACAATATCCACCCTTTTGTTTTGTTTGTTTAGTGACACCTTTTTCCCTATGGCTGGAATGAGCCATGGCTAAGGAGAGCAGCGGTCATCCATTCTTAAATGGGTTGGTTGAAATGATTTTAAAAACTCACCTTAGGCTCAGAGTGCTGTGGTGCTGTGTTTGCCTAGCACGCACAAGGCCAGCACCACTGAGCCGCCACCATGGAATCCTAGAGGAAATCCTAGAGGGAAGGACGTCAGAGCTGAGAACGTTGCAGTGAGGCTCGCCTGGCTCCTTCTGCTTCTTCTTGGGGCTTTATCTTTCCAGATTTTTAGTAATGAAGATATACTGCTTTTATGACTAGAAAAGACATTAAGAATATATTGCTGCTCTCCATAGTTGAAAAAATTAATCAAATATTAACCCCCCTAAAATACTGTCATGTACACGTGCTATCCGTCATATAGAGTGCACAGAACTGGTCTCAGCTTATTGAAGAACTGAGAGGATGAGGCAGGGCTGCCTTTATTTAAGGAACAAGAGTCCTATGGAGGGAGCAATGACTCATGGGTAAGAATGCTTGCTGCTTCTGCAGAGCACTGGTGTTCGGCTCCCAGCTCCCACACTGGGTGGATCACACTCCAGGAAGTCCAGTGCCTTTGTCTAGCCTTGGCAGGCACCTGCACACATGTGATGTACATACAGATGACATGTGCACACATACATACATACATACTTACATACATACATACATACACACTTAATAAAAGAATTTCTACGATGTCAGAATACGCGCTGGGGAACATTAAACATTTCCTCTCTGCCCCACTTCCTGCAGTACAGTCTAGAACTCCAGACTGGTTCATTTCACTGCGGCACCTTATTTTCCAGCCTTTGAAGGTGATGCTTTGCCAGATCTCTGAGTTTATCTCCTCTCCTCATAGGTGTGGGAGCCACTTCCGGGGTTTCAGCTCACTCCTCCAGCACTTCCGGCGGCAGCACCTTGTCCCCCTTCCAGCATGCTCACAAAGGTGAGGAAGGCACCCAGCTGTGGGTCTTCTGGAACTCAAAGAGCTGAGGGTGAGGAGGGAGAGGGGACTGCTGTCACCAATGAAGACAGAGCCCTTCCCCTCTTGTCACTTCCCTAATGTGACAGAATCACATGATCGTGCCTGATCAGCTGCAGGACCTTGGTATAGAATTACTACTCCATGGGTATCCTGGTACTCCAGTCACCTTGGCAGGGTGAGAGGTGACAGCCAGGAGCCAGTGTCAACAGTTTACACTTTACACTTTTAATACTCATTTCCAGTGACTTCTGTTCTCCTTGCTCATTAGAAATGGAAATGATGGTTGAGGGGCACTCTCCCCACCCTCACCCCCATCCTCACCCTCACCCCATCTATATTTCTGTCAGTGCAAGCCCTTGAGCTGGCTTGTCCCTCCTCATAGAGAGACTCATATAACTCATAGAGGAGTTTATCTATAGTTGTAATGCCATCTGATTCTTAAGCATGTTTGGGGTTGGGCCTCCATGAGGCTTGGGACCCTCAAAGCATCAGTATGCAGCCCGCTACATCCTGACCCAAGGTATGAGGACAATATGCAGACATGTCCACCTCACTTCCCCCAGCAGCCGGAAATGACATGCAACCTAGAATAGTAAGACGTACATCACCCATCTTCCACACCCCACAGCTGTAAACGCACCAGACAACATCAAGGAGTCCGAGTGTCCTGAGTGGACTCTTGGCACTGCACATCCTTCTGATGGCTCAGAGCACCAGATGCCTGCCACTGCCTCTTTGGGTGGCAGGACATTTGGATCCTGCTTCATGGGGACCAGGTGTCCTGTTTAGCTATTTTGGAGAACTACAGGGAGGTTTCAGATAGTCCACACATCCAAAGCTCCATCAGGGAACTAAGCAAACAGCTCTAAGAATAGCAGCAGCTAGCAGAAGTGGAAACAGTAGGAGTTGCTGGGTCAGTTGAGCCCTCTTTACCCTGGGGCTCTTGTTAATACTCTGGGGATGAGGTGCCAAGTAAAACCAAACCAGGAATGTAACCTCTAGCCAGAGGGGCGGCATCATGCTTGGGAGTGCCTGAACTCCCAAGACAGATACTTGTTCATGGGCCTCTCTGGTCCTCGTCGCTACTTTTCTCTCATGATCTCAGGGTAGTGACGCTCAGAGAGCACCCTGGGAATGACTTCTTGTTTTGCATCCTGATCTTCCAAGTACAATGCACATGCGCCCAGTCGGCAGTGTGGGGGAAGCTGATGGTCCTGACCTAGCAGCCAACATGCGCTTTGAGAGCCAGGACCTTGGGCCAAGTAGATCCATGTCAGCATTCCTGTGATTGTGTCTCCTGGGGGGTGCTGTGGCTTGGGGGAGTGACCTACAAACCCATTTATCCTCCTCTCCTTGATGCCAGCAGAGCTCTCAGGCCAAGGACACCTGGCCACCGCCCTGATCATCGCCATGTCTACCATCTTCATCATGGCCGTCGCCATCGTCCTCATCATCATGTTCTACATCATGAAGACTAAGCCTTCAGCGCCAGGTGACATCCCTGCACCCATGTCCCTAACCCAGTACTCTGGCACCTTCTCAGAGAGAGCCAGGGAGCTCATGCCAACCTTCTTCTCTCTCTTCAAGCAGCCTGCTGTAGCAGTCCCCCAGGAAAGAGTGCAGAAGCCCCAGCTAACACACACGAGGAGAAAAAAGAGGCCCCAGGTCTGTACACATAGCCCACACTGCCTCATGCACAATATCTAGCGTGAAGGTGGAGTATGTTCACCTTGTCCTCAAACCTGGCAGCCCAGCCTCCTGACCACCGCTGATTCCAGGGCCTTTAAGGGGGGTGTGTGCCCACTTGTCCTGTCCCAAGGTGGTCATCAAGGATGTCTACTGAAAAGGAAACAGGAAGGGAGATCCAAGCTCAGGACCACAAGCTAACTCTCACCAACGTCCAACTTCCATTCCTACAGACTGTGTGGTGACTTTCCCTGAGAATGGTGAATTCCAGAAGTTGACAGCAACACCCACAAAGACCCCCAAAAGGTATGTAGAACAGGGACTCACCTACACTCACTACTAGGTTGAACAGTCCCAGTCCCAAGGACGGAGTTAGCAGCTGGGCCCTTATAGGTCCTTGAGCAGGCAGGCAAGCTGTGTCAGTGAGTGTACTGGGTGCTGGTGTCTGGCCTAAGGATGCTCCAAGAATATTAGACAGCAGCTTCCCACCAAAGGGGGCAATGTAAACCAGCATTGACTTTCTGCTTCCTCACTGATTACACAGGAGCCTGCCTGCTACTCCCGACTTCAAACTGAGGAGCCAACATGAATCACAGGATACACACACACACACACATACACACACACACACACACACACACACACACACACACACTGGTCAGGTTCCCACAGCTACCAGCAGTGCTTACACTGCTTTAAAGCCAACAGGCCCAGGCCCAGGCCTAAGACTGGTCTTGCCATACCCCTAAGAGTAACAGGTTGATTCCATCCTTACTTCCATAACTGGACCAAGATCACACACCAGTGATCAACATAACTAGAACCAAAGCCCAGACTGTCAACCATCTATTAAGGGCTGGTATAATAAGCCTCTGGGGAAAGAGATTTACCTGACCAGATTTTAGCACGTTTTCCAAGCATTGGGTCATAGAACTTGCCCCTGCTTTAAAATCTACTGAGAAGGGAAGTCATTTCCTATTGTCTCCATTGGATAGTCATTTGGACTTGGTCCTTGCACTGGTTCCCAGCCAGAAAGCATGCAAACCCCTTTGTCTGAACCCTGCACTGTGGCCTTCAGACAAGTATGGGAAGGGCCCCGTCTACCCAGTTCTGGTCTTTGCAACTGGGTTGCAGAGTTCCCAAATGTTGCTAAGACAATTTACAGAAAAGCAGAGTGCCAAACCCTCCTTCCTGACCCAAGACAGGATCTTCCCACACTGACTTACCAATTACTGCCAAGTCTTTCCTACTTGAGAATAAGGACTCCAGCTACCTGGATCAGGTCCAGGCACTGAGGAAGGCTGGCTTAGTGCACTAACCCATTGGAAAATTCTAGTGCTCTCAATACTCCCAACACAGGCATCTCTGCATGGTAGAGGGGGATAGTAGGTGTGACACTACTCAAGGCCGTGAAAAGGCCTTAGTTCCCACAGCACTGTAATTCTAATTGATCACTGTTCAGATTCTGGGAAGCTGTGATCTGAGCCCTGTCATACAAGGTGCCAAGGCTGAGGCAGGGCTCTAAGTATGGTGTGATCCCATTTGGTCCCAGCTTGGTCCTTCCATCTTTCAGGACTTTTTGCTCCTAAAAGCAGCAAAAAGGAGATATGAACAGACAAGGATGTGTCCATGGCTTGAGTTTCTCCTGAGGGGAAAATTTGCGGGACTGAACTTGGGGAAATATCTACTCCTTGCAAATATAAATATTATGCTTTTTCTCTAAAGACAAGGTCATGAGCCTTTGTCCCTACAAACAGCTCTTGGATCTTGGAAATGGGACTTGGGAGCTATATGGTGATCTATGGAAATGTCATGAGGTGTTCTATAAAGAAACCTTTATGTCTTTCCATTTGCCTGCCAGAGTTAGTGATGGGGGTGGGCCAGCCACCTCCCTCTTAGGCCCTCAAGCATGATGACAAAGTGGCTCTGTTAGATGGTTTCATAACTTCTTTTTTCTTTATTCTGGCTCCAGGGCTATGTTTGCATATGCCCTTCACTGCTAACACAGTAACACTCAAATATAATGTGTGGCAAATATAATCCCCTTTTCTAAAGTTCTTTAGCCAAAGCAAGAAAGCAAGCAGAATGCTTTGAAAAAGAAATACCATTTTTGAATGGTATTGTGTGACCTGAGCTATGATCTGGGGAAACACATGAGGCTAGGTACACATGATCACCCACCCTGCCCACCCTTAGGAGCAATCTGTAACTCCCACAAGGCTCATTCTAGCAGCAGGGACTAGTCAAGAGTGCATTTTTGTGTGTGTGTGTGTGTGTGTGTGTGTGTGTGTGTGTGTGTCCTTGGTTACTCTAAAAACCTGGCATGGATTAAGTCCCAGCCATCTAACCTTAATAACTTAACATGAAGACCCACGGTTGTACTTATCTTGCTGGGGTTAAGTGCACGAATCTAGAACATACTCCATGAATCTTTACAAAGCATCTATGGTGTCAGACAGTATGGAGAGATGTTCAGGTGCAGCCCTTGGTGGTATCCCCAGCCTCTCGGAACCCACAGCTTCTTGAGAACCCCATGCAGACATCTATAGGGCACTCAGTATCAGAACTGCTTGTTTGTCAGGAAACAGAACGTGCGTTTCTTACCTCATGTCTCCTTACCTAGAGCTCATAATGTAGTAACTGCTTAAGGAACAAGACACTGTACCGTGCTGCCCATACCTGGGTAAGAAGGTCAGTGCCGGGACAGCTCGTCTGGATTGGAGTTTCACTAACAGATGCCCTGGTTGTTTCCACAGTGAGAACGATGCCTCCTCTGAGAACGAGCAGTTGCTGAGTCGCAGTGTGGACAGTGATGAAGAGCCAGCCCCCGACAAGCAGGGGTCCCCAGAGCTATGCCTGCTGTCGCTAGTTCACCTGGCCAGGGAGAAGTCTGTAACCAGTAACAAGTCTGCTGGGGTGAGGCTCTGGCAACAGTACCCTTGGTATACTGGTGCAGTGACTTCCAGCCATCAGACAAGACACCTTATGTGGAATAAGCTCCTTAGGGTGCTGTTTCTCCCAAAGGTCCCAGCTAGGATGCTGGGCAAAGCAACAAGTCAGGAAAGAAAGAGAGAGAGAGAGAGAGAGAGAGAGAGAGAGAGAGAGAGAGAGGAAATTTATCTTAAATATACTGCTTATAGACAAAAGAGAAAAGGGTTTCAAAAAAATCATTGTAAATGCCAGAGAACAGGAAAAAAAAAGACTTCAGAAGCATACCGTGCATATCCAAGCAGTTAAACACACAGACACACACACACACACACATGCCCATGCACTTATGTATATCTGTGGGTTCTATGAGTCGATTAAACATACATAAAAAAGAAAACAGTACTAAAGACGCATGCTTCTTATTGCAATTAGTCCGTGAACCATGCAGTGCAATAACTACTTACACAGTGGCTCATGTGCTGTTAATTGAAATGTACTTGAATGTTAAAGTACGCGGGGTGTTGTGGATAGGATCTACGCAAATAGTCATTTTACGTATTTTACGTAGTAGTCCTGAGTAACCATAGGCTTACATATCCTAAATGTAAACACATGTGCATGCACATGTACATGTCTCTTACACAGCGACAGACTCACCCGGACTAATTGTCTGGAGGGTTTTATCACTAAAGCATGCTATGTCTGTGGCACAGGGGGTGCTCTGAGGCCCCGGCATACATTCCTTCTTTAGTCTGTGCCTTGGGCAACCCAGCCAAACCTTGTGGCAACACTGTTGGGAGTAAAGAAAATTCCCACTGAGATCCTGGATCTGGCCTGGTCATGTACTCTAGGTGCAGTGCGCTAGAAGAACCTGCAGTGCTGCCTGCCACAGGCATGGGGTTCTTTCGTTGAGGGTCACTCATTGCCTAGTTTTGCCCTGTGCTTTCTTCCCTGGAGAAGAGAGGCTTCTATAGCTCTGCATGCATGGCTGCCCTGGTGGCCATCTGGTGGCCATTCTCTTAAACATACCAAGGACAGCTCTAACATTGGTGTCCCCTTTAACACAAATGTCATCCCTGGTGTGCACAGTGGGGGTTTGCTTGGAAACCTAGGGATATTCTTCCTCTTGATAACTTCGGGTTGCTTCTACCTAAGGCCTTGGCACAGCAAATATGCCTAGCCACCAGGACCAAGCCAGTGCAATGGGGAAGATTTGGAGGTTTGCTACCATCTTTCCCCTTTCTAAAGACAAACATTCTCTTACTTGTTCTTTATAGATCCAAAGCCGAAGGAAAAAGATATTGGATGTGTATGCCAACGTGTGTGGTGTTGTTGAAGGTAAGAACTAGAGAACCATTTAGAGCTGAAATGTGGTGGTATATACCTTTAATCCTAGAGTGGATGTGGTGGTACACACCTTTAAGCATACATCCCAGCACATGAGAGGCAGAGGCAGGCAGATCTCTGTGAGTTTGAGGCCAGCCTGATCTACACAGTGAGTTCCAGGCCTGCCAGGGGCTACATAGTGAGACTTTGTCTTAAACAAACAAACAAAAACAAAAAAAGAAAGAGTCATTCAGAGATCACTTCCTTGATACCCTCCCAAACCCACTGACCCAAAGCCAGGCATGGGAAGGGGCTCCTGAGTGAAGAATGGAGGACATTCATCCATATTTGATGGGAGTTGTCAGGCCCCCATCAGAATGGCTAAGTAAACTGACTTCTGATGTGGATGGAAAGGGAATTTGGTTCCTGGTTTAGGCTGAAGCTCCCCATAGTGCTTCCCTCGAAGGACAAGAGACAGCCCAGTGTGTGTGTTGATGGGGACACAATGATGGGGCCCCATAGTTCCTGTGCTGTGCCTATGTCAGTACTGTCATTATGGAAACATCTGATGGCACCCAGTAGTCAGTGCCAATGGGTACACGTTCTAAGAAACACATAGGTATGAGACTTTGTCTTTGTGACAATATTAGGTATACAAACACAAACAAAGATGGTTTACAGCATCAGTAGATAGACCTGTAGAGGCAGAGTTTTCTGTCATTGACAGAAATGTTGTCATGTAGGGGATGGCTGTGCCTAGAAGCTGTTATCTTCCCTCTTGAGCTCCACAAGGCACACTGAACTGGCCTTGGAGGGCTCACCCCTCCTTCCAGAGCAACCACATGAGCAGCAAGTTCAGGCCGCCTTAAGCAGGTAGGTAAGAAGCAACTGAGTAAGAAGCATAAACATTCCAGTCAGTTATCCTACATGCTACAAAATCCAGGCCCTAAATTAACTTCTATTCACCCTGGAAATACACTCCTCACTGCACTTTCCTGCCTCATGCCTTGCTGGCATCTCTCTATGCACCTCTAGTCTGGTTGAACCTTGGGACTGAAGAGAGTCACATGCTGCCACTCATGTCCCCTGTGGGAGAGGTGCAGGCCCTAAGCCGGGGCAGACTGGTTAGATGCTCTGCTTGGCCTGAAATAACCACTGAGCAGGAATTCCAGGGCCAAGAATTCTTCTTGGCTGCCTTCAGAAACATGGAATGGCTCCAGAAGTGCATGCCTGGTCAGCCTGCTTGATCAAGCTTGGCATGGTGGGTGCTATAGGCTGCCCAGAAGAGTAAGGTCTGGGAGTTACATTCCAGCAACCCCAAACCTTGTCTCTGTTCCAAAGAATGTCTTGGCTTTGAATGATCAAACCCACAGGACTGTGGCTTTCAAATTAATTTAAAACCTCAACCATAAGAAGAACCCTCCAGTGGGCCCTGTAGGGTGGAAGTTTCAAGCCTGTGCCCTCAGGTGCTCCTTGACGGCCCAGGCATGTGTGCCGCCTAATGCCAGAGTAGTCAGACACAGCCAAGGCTGTCTCTAAAGCCAGTATGGCTTGGCTCCTAAGATTATTAGAACCACATGAAGACCTTAACATTCACACCTCTGCCTACCCCACCTGCTCCACTTCCTTTAAGATCCTAATGTGGTTATTATGACACCAAAGCCCTCCAGTTATTTTTAAAAGTTTTTTTATTGCAATATTCTTCCCACCTACCCCATGACAAGGTTCTCTGTGTAACAGTCTTGGTTGTCCTGGATCTTGCTCTGTAGACAAGGCTGGCCTTAAACTTAAAGATATCCACCTGCATCTGCCATCCAAGTGCTGGAATTAAAGGTGTATACCATCATCTGACTTGTGATATTCTTACCACTTGGTAAGATAATAGCACAAAGCCTGGGTGCACTTCTCCCAGCTTCTCCTGATGGCAACAGCTCACAAAGCCCATAAAAATCACAACCAAGATGTTGTTAACACCATAGACAGAAATCCCTTCCACCACCACAGGGGACTCTCCTGTTCTCCAGCCCCCCCAGTGCAGCCCAATCAACCACTAATCTGTTCTCTATTGCTATAATTTTGTCATTTCAAGATTATTAAAGTCAAATTGAGGGCTGGAGAGAGGGCTCAGTGCTAAAGAGCACTGGCTGTTCTGCAGAGAACCTAGATTCAATTCCCAGCACTCACATGGCAGCTTACAACCATCTGTTAACTCTAGTTCCAGAGGGTCTGACACCCTCTTCTGGCCTCTGTGGGCACTGCATGTACATGGTGCACAAACATGCTTGTAGGTAAACACCCATACGTATAAGATACACATTTTAAAAATACTTTTGAAAGTTGAATTGTACAGTATACACTCAGCGATCAGGTAGTCTCACATACCGTAGTTCAGTAGGGATTCCTCTGGGTTGCTATGTAGGTCAATGTCATGGCAGTCTTTGAGTAGATTTTTTGAAATTTCTGCATAGATGATCTGTCTATGCACACAAGGGCAGTTTTATTTCTTTCTAATCAGTGTGTGCTTTCCCTTCTCTGCCTTCTCTGCTTTGGCATGATGTCACATATGAGCTCTGTGAGGAGAACCCTGGTCCTGACCCTCAGCTTTTAGCAGTGTACTAGCTCTGGACTTAGCATAAAAGTCATATTGACTTTTGAATACAGAACCAGAACTACACATTCCTAGAATAAATGGCACTTATCATAGTAAATAATTCTGCCCAATTGGTGAATTCTATTTGTTAACATTTTGTTAAGAATATTGGTCTTGCTCTAGTTTTAATAACAGATTGGGAAATATTTTCTTCTTTTCCATTTTCTTGGAGAGACTAGTTAGGACTTACATTAATTCTTAAATACTTGCTTGATGTTTAGCATGGAGCCCCCACTGAGCTTCCATTTGTGACCTGCAACTCTGACCACTTCCTGTCTTAGGTCTCAGCCCCACGGAGCTGCCATTTGATTGCCTTGAGAAGACAAGCCGAATGCTCAGCTCCACTTACAACTCAGAGAAGGCAGTCGTGAAAACGTGGCGCCACCTTGCCGAGAGCTTTGGACTAAAGAGGGATGAGATTGGGGGCATGTCTGATGGCATGCAACTCTTTGACCGCATCAGCACCGCGGGCTACAGCATCCCAGAGCTGCTCACAAAGCTGGTGCAGATCGAGCGGCTGGATGCTGTGGAATCCTTATGTGCAGACATATTGGAGTGGGCCGGGGTAGTACCACCTGCCTCCCCACCCCCAGCTGCATCCTGAAGAGTTTGCCTTGGACTGTCTTCCCTGGGACCAGCTGGGGATCCAATGAAGCCACTACAGCTGTGAGTGATGTCATCGGACTGCCAAAACTCAAGGCATTTCCTGGTGTATTCCTTAGGCTGTATTCCTTAGGCTGTCCTAAGGAGCTCAGTGAGCGCTCAAATGAACCAAACCATGTGGGGATGACACAGGTGAAGAGTCTGATCCTGTCTTTTAAGGAGGCACTTAGTGAGAGACAGGGGGCATGGTATAGACCATATTACCAAAACATCACATGGGCAAATGAAGGGATGCTAAAAAAACAATGTAGCAAAAGTTGTAAGAGTGATGGAGTCTCAAGGATAATGGGAACATCCTAATGAAGAGAATAGCATGAAGGTTTTAGGAAAACGGTTGCAAAGTACAGACATCCCACTGTCTGCATTGCTTGAGAAAGCACGGTTTGTTGGCATGCCCTATGGTTCCAGAGGTAACTTGACCTGTGTTTATCATCACCCATAATGGTACAAGCCCTGCAGTCACTAGTGGAGGAACTCTGTGTGTCACTGACACACAAGGCATGTCTGTCCAGGCTAAAGTGTGGGCAAATTTGTTCTCCAACACCATCCACGGGCACAGCAGTTACAATATGTCAGGCTGGTTTTACTTCAAACAGATGTGTGTTCTCTGGAGAAAGGGAAATGGTGACTTGCTAAGAGTTACCATGCCTGATTTGTGGATGAAGCTTGAGTGAGTTCAGACACAGCATCCTGAGCCAACGAGTGCAGTACAGAGGTGGGGCCTGGAGGCCTGGGCCCTGGTGGAGTCATCCAAAGTGGCTGTCTCCCTCCCCTAGACTAGCTTCTCTTCTGCAAATGAGAGGTTGGTCTTCATGTCTGTAGTCAGGAAAATTGAAGCTCAGGTGAGCAAAAAGGTGGGCGAAAGAAAATGGAGGCAGAAAAGGAGAGGTCCAGGGAGCCTCCATGGGGTAAATACAGTGTGGGTGGCCACACAAAATGGGAGTCATGGGAAAGTCAGAGCCACCATTTTGACGAAAGGGCAATTGTAGGACAGAGCGTTTTTTCAGAGCTCATAAACAGGCATCACTCTGGCAGATTCTCTCACTACACCTGTAACTGCCAGGAAATGGGAAGCCAAGGAAGCTTTCCCGGCAGGGGGTTAATGCCAAGCTGGCTGCTGGGCTCCCTCCTGGAGTGCTGACTGTAACGAATGTTGCCTTTCAATAAAGCCTCTGGTGAAGAGGCTATTGAGTTTTTTGTTTTTTTATTACAATCGTATGACTGAACAAAGGCTTTGGAGGGGAACCAGTTGTGTGTTTAAAACCATTAAGCAGTTTCCCACCACTGAATACAGACCATACTGTGAGAGGGCCATAATTAGGTCCTGAATATTTAATATAATCATTTTCCTGTGTCTGTCTGTGCTGGTTTTTTAGAAGGCATTTACTATATCCTGCAAGTTAAATAGTCTGCTTAATTGTCCTTGTAATTCCTCTTTGGGATCCTGCGGTGTCCCTTGCCCCTGGTCTTCCATAACGACGCGGAGCTTCCCCTTATTTAGACTTGTAAATGTCATCCGTGATGAGTGAGCAGGTCTAGGACAGCAGGCTCTTCTCCAACTGTCACTCTGCTGAAGAATGGGCAGCTGCAGCCAGCAGTGTGGGCTGGCCTCCATTCACCCTGTGATGGTTCAAGGCTTGAGCCAGCCAGCATCGTTGTTGTTTAACTGACTCCCAGCTTGCTGCTTTAGGGGAGCTGGTCCCTTGTCATTGACTTTATTTGGCAATAAGTCCAGGAAGGGTTTGCTTCAGCGAGCTTTGCCGAGGATGCCGTAGCAACAAGACCACAGCGACTCTTACTGACCAATGTTGGAACTCCATGCTGCCATTTTTGTCTGGAAACTGTCATTATTTTTCAGTACTTAAAGGTATTTAGTAAACATCAGAGCTAGGTCTGAGGGCCTTAGCCAGTGAAGTCTTAATTGTGAATATTTTATATAATTCTGTTTATGTAACTTATTATATTTTTATAAGCTCAATAAACATGTCAATACAAAGGAGACCTACAGACTGGCACCCTGTGAACTCTTCTGAGTGGGGCGGTATGAGTGGAAGCGAGTGAATGTTACTGGTCATTGTACTGTGCATAATGAGACTATGGGGTTGTGGCCATCCATAAACGAGGTACAGAACTTGTTAGAGCAGGGAGGTGTTCACTAACAGGGGCAGGCATATATGGGGATCATGTAAAGACAACCTGGGACACTCTTTTTCATGTTGCCACCATCAGTTACCAACAAACTCTGTCACTGTCCCAAATCAGTGTCTTGGAGCACACTCATTTCTCACTCTAGCTTTGGGGTCAGAAAGGGCCAGTGGGGTCAACTTGCCCAGACTGTGCTCAGGTCTCTGCCTTCTGGACAACCTTGACAAGGGCAGCTCTGCTCTGTCATCCTTCGTCCTCTTCCACAAACCAGCTGGAGAGCCTGAGCTGGCATGACGCTCATCCTGGCAAGGCCAGAGACCAAGAGCAGGATGGAGGCCACCTGAAGGCTTGGGCTCAGGACTGGCTCCCTGTCATTTCTGGCTTATCCTATTGGCAAAGCAAATCAATTGTCCAGACCCAGAGACAAGAGTAAGAAAAGAGGCTACCCCAGTGCACGAGGAGGGGATGATAACAAGGAGTGAGGAAAACAAGACTATGTCAACTGGCCACCAACACTGAACAGCAACAGGTTGAGTTGTGGCAGCCTCTTGGTATCCAGAGAGCTGGAGAATTGCTCAGTGTAAGAGTACAAAACTCTCTGGTGTCTGAATGCTCCAGAATAGCAGAAATTTTTGTTTCCCTTAATGGTGTTCACTTTTAAAATCCTAGTGTGGAGATAAGGTGAGAATGGGAAGAGATGGTTAAATTTATTTCCCTGGTGGTCACCCTGAACACATTACATCACATGTCCTACAAACACCTCAAGGTTCTAAGGATGCGGGTTACTGCTGCTCCTATGTGCTGGTGCCCCTGTGTACTGGTGCCCCTGTGTGCTAGTGCTCCTGTGTGCTGGTGCTCCTGCATGCTGGTGCCCCCGAGTGCTGGTGCTCCTGTGTGCTGGTGCCCCCGAGTGCTGGTGCTCCTGTGTGCTGGTGCTCCTGTGTGCTGGTGCTCCTGTGT